GAATACATTAAGATGCCCCATGAAAAGACAAAAAATTTTATCAACGATATCGAACAATTTATAATTACAACAAAAGATCCTGAGTTGACGATTATTCATTGTAAATATCCATATCAAATGGAAATCAAAGTCAGTTTATTTGGACGAAAAAAATTGGTGAAAATAGTGAAAAAGCAAATAGAATCGCTCGTTCACAAACATACATTGAAATCATTTGCAATCAGAATGACTACTGAACAAGTAAAAATCTTATCATTTCGTACTTTGTAAAATTATCTTTATTTTTTAGCACGAATATCTAGTGGATAATTGTCTCCAACAACTCAAGAATATCGAAAGTGATTACAAGAATGATAATGTTCAAATAAGAATACGACAGAAAGAATTTTATGCACCTCAATATCGAATCGAAGCAATTAAACAACATATCAATGAACTCATATATCAATCAACTACATTTACAATTCAAAAGCTTGAAAATTCTGTTTGCTTAACTGATGATGACAGTGCAAGATTGAATGAAATTGCTAAAAAGCATTGTTGTCGTATAGAGAGAATAGAATCGAATGTTGAAATGCAGATTCACCCGATACCGAAAGCATTAATAACAACTTCAGCAACATCAAGCCTATTTATTCAACAATCGAATACATTCTGTTCATCATTGTCAGTAAAAAAAATGTCAGTATTGAATGGTTCAATAGAAGTATACACTCCTGATTATTCCATGCCATGTTCGGTAAGTAAACAAATCTTCTGGACTAAACTATGCGTATTCCCGATTCAGAAGGATATTACTGTGATTTCTACGGATGCAGGAGCGCTTCAAGAACGTATTGAAACTGCACTTGAAAATGGATTCTTCGACACATCTTCAGGTAGAAAAATTATATTTTGTCGCTGGCCACATCGCGCCTCAACGGATAGTAAAGCGGTTGTAAAATTAAAAAGATTTATTGGAAAATTTATATCATATGTCGCAGAAACGATCACAACTAATTGTCCTGATGCTGAAAAGATTGAATTTTCAACATGTGGTTGGGAGAGTTTAAATACTGAGGCGCAGTTTGCTGAAGAACTTATTATTGAAATGAAACGAGTACTTGAAGTCCGTAGATCACGTTGGAGATTTTTGTTGATTTTCAATCATAGACAGAATCAACTATGTAAAGAATTTCATCAAGCAATGGTACGATTGCAGTCTGATGAAGATGGTTTTGTTCAATTCCCTTGCTCGGTATCAAGTATGTATTCATTATCCCTTACAGAACATTCACGAAAACTAATTTTTTTATGGATTTTGAACAATTGAACTTGTTGAGCCAGTATATATAAAGTACTGATGAGTTGAGATCGAGTAGCTTTGAACGATAATAGATTTCGAGAAGAGCGACTGTAAATAGTATTGATCACCAGCGCTTATTTTTATATTAAAATTTTCTCCAAGCAGAAAAAATAAATCTGAATGGTTGATTTTCTTAGCTATTCATATTACCTTGACTACTGTGAAAGGTAATAACTTGATACCATGCGAGAATGAAATCAATTGTTACATTCGAAGCAATATATCTACTATTGAAAAACTAAAAAAATTATCAGATCTGGAACAATGGAATCAACACATGATAAACGTCTTCTATAAGTATTGTCTAGAAAAATCTGTGCTGCCGAATCTTAGCCTAATAACTTTGGAACTGCAACTGATCGGCTCAGCACAAAATATCGAGAAGGCGATGGAAAAATGCAAGCTGATGTGCGAAATATTGAAGTTAAAATCATCAGTACGAACTTCACCTTCAATCGCGCCAAGATCTTCTGATAAAGGACGAAAACAGTCCGATTCGGTTAGCAATCGTAGTTACAACATTGCGTTCAGCTATTGTCCACAAGATGAAGCATTTTGTGAACATCTTGCAACATTTTTAATAGATGAAGGCTATTTATTATGTCGAGCATCATCTAGTAGACCTCTATCACAATTACAAATTCAGAACTCTGATTTGATGTTAATTTATTTTGATGAAAACTATACAAAAGATGCACATTGTATGTCGAATCTAAACTATGCCAAATCAATACAAAAAACAATCATTCCGATTGCAGCCATGAAAGATGTTTTTCAGGATACAGAAGAAGATTCCTGGCTGAATTCGGTCAAAAATGCTCAATTATTCTACGAATTGTTAGACACCGAAATAGACATTGAGTTTACTTGCGATTTTAACCTGGAATACGATAAATTATTAGCAAAACTGGTAAGTCGAAAGATTACCTTTTTCTATCTGTTGAGGTATTTCATGCCCATGGATGGACTATAGACGTAAGTAGTTGAAAGATAGCTGATTCATATTTTTGGATCACTTGCGTATGGTTTATGACTTTAGCAGGAAAGATTTCTATGGATTACTGTAGTTCGTGATATCTCGAGTGAAATATACATTTTTAGTAGTGTGGAAACTGTCAGTGATGATCCCAATGGAGATGTTTTTGCGAATTTCGATGACACAACATTGCATCATTGAACTCAGATCACGTAAAATTCATGTACAATAGAAAAAAAAGTTGATCAAGTTTCGAAGAATGCTGTCAAACTTCTCTTTCAGTGTTTCTAAAAGGTCAACATTGTCTAATTTTCAGCTTTGCTTATATAAAGCTAAAGCTGTACAATTATCTCTTATGTTGGAGCGTAAGCAGTCAGAGTTAAAAGAAATGATTCCGTTCTACTTCTTTGATGTAGACTAAATTTGGCCTGTGAAATATTAAAGCTCTTCTTCATCCGATATGTCTTGTAGCTTTGTCATACAAAGCCCGGTGTGACTGGTCAACATTATCCTCTCATGTCCATAGTATCGAATGCAAAACAGATGAATACACATGACGACGAGTCTCTATTTGGTCATTCATCAATCAAGCTGAAAAAACTGACTGAAGAGGAACGAAAAGATAGAGAAAAAGCTTACAAACGACAATTGAAGAAACGAATTGAAAATGAAAAAATTTCAAGTGATGAAATCAACATGCTAGTAGGCAGTTTGATGCTAGTCGTTGATGATTTAGAAGCAATTTTGAGAGGAGAAAATCCAGATAATTATATGGATCCAGATGATCGTGAAAAATATTCATTCATGCTGCAAAGTAGGAAACCATGTCAAAAAACATTTCATGCAAGAAATTTTAGATCTATTTTCTCTTTTTTTTTGACATATAGATGAATATTCAAAAGTGATTGCGAATGAACTTTTACATTGTATTCAACGTTGGTTAAAAAGATCTCCGAACGTGATGAAGAAGAATGTTGCACCATTTACTCCTACTGGTGATATCAACGACGCTCTATTCACAATGTATCAGCCTAGTGATTATGACTGGTGGAAATCCGATTATGAAACATTTGACAGTTTGCAATCGAGACAATATTTCGCTACATCAGATTCAAATGAAGCTTCTTGGTTTACAGATGAACAAGCACATGACTATTTTCAACTATTTATAAAGGCGACTAGACGAGTAAATATAATTGAAACAAAACTTGAAGAGAATGAAACAGCTTGGGAAACTGTTTCTATTAGTGATGTCGATGATGAAAATCCTACAAATGATGACGACGATATTGATGATCAATTGAAGACTCCAGAAGAAATAAAAAAGATTCAAGAACTTGATAATCCACATCGTAAATGGAAACGAAAGAAACGAGTTACAGAAGCTTTTATGAAACAAAAGATACGAAATATCATCGAGTTTCAACAACTTTGTTATAAGCAAGCTAATTTATAAACAAATTTGTTTTCTTACAACTAAAATAATGTAATAAAATTTTTTGATAGAAACAAAAATCTGTTAAAACTTTTTGCTTCACCATCCATATATTTATATAACTTTTAGATGAAAATTTAATCATCTCAATTCAAACTTATTTTATGATGGAAATATTACTATTACGATACTCATCTCTCGTTACTCGGCTTCGTCAAACGCGACGAACCTTATGCATTGAGCAGTTTAAACAAATCTTGGATGATATTCTTTCTTATTTAAATAAAATTCCTTCGAACAAAAGAAAGATCGATGGTATGCATATTTTGTCGATTGTTTGTGATGAATTAACTAGTTTGAATGTATTTCGATTATTCGATCATTTGGTTTTAAGAAATCATCCGATTTTTAATTGTATTGGGCGAACATTCGAAATGCTTTTGATAAAAGCAAATCATGCACAAACAATACCAATGACTCAGCAAGAAGAAGATTGTTTCTCTGCAACTAGTTATCTCATCGTACAATTATGTTTGCATCAAAAGGAGCCAACTAAGTTATTCTATGGCGAAGTGTCAACAGAAATATTTCCTATAACAGAAAAACCTAATCCAAGAGACAAAAGTGCAGTTAAAACCAATAGAGAATCAGATGAACTTACGGAAAAACCAAATCTGAAAACTGCACGATTACCACCAGATGCACCTGCAGCACGTCCATTCGAACCAAGGCAACCCGATGTAAGAAAAATATCCAAGCTTAAAAAGTTTCTGCCTCCTTTCAGTCCTATCTCAAAAATAAGTCAAACTATTCTACCCGTATTTGAATCCGATGGAACTGATCAACCTGCAACGAATTTTCAGGATTTATTTTTAAGTGAATTATTTTTCGAACAACTGGTTCGCTCCGTTGAGGATCTATCTCAACATGTATATTCTTCATATCATATCAAATATAAAGTTACAGATCGACTTGTTAGTCTCTGCTCAAAATTAAATATTGTCGATCACTTACTCAATCCTATTATAAAATGTTTATGTTCAAAGTATTATCTTGATGCATTTCAAGCACTTAAATCTAATCAAATCCAATTGAATCCAAAACAGCTCTTTTATATTCATCGATGTCCACAATTTCTCATTCAGCATGATTTCCTACAACAAGAGAAGATAATTCGCACATTGTATAAGACAATCATTGATGTTACGAAACCAATTTTTGACAAACATTTATTAGCAATAGGTAACAAGAGTTTGATTTGTTTTTTTTCGATTAAAATACTTTTCTCTTGTGTTTTTGATCAAAGATACCGAAATCAATTCGAATAAAGATGGAGATAGACAAATAATTATGCATGCACTTAGTTGCCATATTGAATTCTTGTATCAGTTTTCATTCACACCATTGGGCAGACAATATTTTCTTCAAAGTTCTATCGTCAATCAAATCCTAACTATATTAGAACAGAATACGTTGATTGACAGCGCCTGTAAAAATAAACATTTATTTAATGCAAACGTTGGTATTGTTGCTTACAGTATCATGTTACTTTATAATCTGGCTTATGATATACAAATGTTTTCGATCTTGAAACAATCAAATTTTCAAAATATCTGCTTACAATTAGAATTTGCAAAAGATACTACGATTCAATTTGCATCAATGACATTGTCAACAATTCTAAAACAAGAAACTATTGATGAAAATAACGAACCTAGCAAACTAAAGGAAGCCTACATGCAATTTCTCGACAGTATTACTTTTAAATCAAAACAAATAACAACCGGGATTGTTACAAGAAATATAAGAGGTACGTTTATCTGAGACATGAACACTCACAAACAACATAGAATAATACTTTTCAGTATTTGGTTCCCATTCTAAAGCATGATTATAGAGTCATCAGGATGCGTTTCATCGGAAGGTCGAATATACTTCTACAACATAACATCGCTGATGATCTAGGGTTTCGGAATTTTGCCAACTTTTTCTGAAATATATATATATCTTAGACACGCATTAGCAGTTTCGATCACCGCCTATTTTTAATAATCGACCAATACGGCTAACTTTTTTCTTATAGGAAAAGATACTGCGAAACATGTGTTTGTCAGAGGACCATTTTTGAAAAAATTAATTCAAGATATTGAACATCTTTCAAAGCACAATTATCGATCGGACGAACAACGATATAGAGATGCTGCTCAACAAATTCGTGTTTGTACAACAGAAGAAACAAACGAAGTAGAATCATTATTAGATCCAATAATTGCATGTTTATCTTCGAAATTTTATCGCAATGTCTATGAAAACCTCATCGTTAATTATGTAAAAGTTTCCAAAAGTAATCTTGCAGCAAAACATTTATTTTTCATGCGTGACTGTCCAGAATTTCTATTTCGACACGATTACAAACGACAAGACGAAGTAGCTGCTTTACTTTGTACAGAAATGTTAAATAATGCTGGATTCATTCTCGAACAAAATTTACCCAATCTAAACAACAACGAAGGTTAAATCGTTGTCTCATCGTACAAGTTGATCTTTTTCTTATTTATTTCTAGATGACGAAACAACAATGAATGTCCATATCGAAGCAGTACTTTATCATATTAAACTGTTAAATCATTTTGCACAGATACCATCTATACGAAAAAACTTTTTGGAAACTAGAATACTAGATGAGATTTTACAACTTTTACAGAATGATACATTAATTCATAATACTAATCGAATCGTTGATGTCAAAAGTTTGATGATCATGCAATCAATAATATTATTATATAATTTGGGATTTAGTAAAGAAATCTTATCTCGAATGAAACGAAAAAATGTGATTGATATTTGTTCAAAATTATGTTTAATGAAAGATAAAATGATTCAATTTGTTTCACAAGCTTTAATCATAAGATTAGATCCAAAAAAAATTGATGAAATACCTAATCCGAAATCACTTACTAAATTTTGTTTGGAATGTATGGAAAAATCTGTTAGAGAACCACGACGTTCGTATCAAGGTATCAAATTGAATGGTGTATTGAAAGTTCTTGAAAGTACGTTTCGAATAACAAATTATTTCTCTATGTACACTTTTCTTTCTTAGTTCTACTTGAAAATGATATAGTACAAAAAACTATTGTGGAAGAACAAGAAGGCATGTTATTTCTTACAAAATTCGCATGCATCATATGTCCAGACAATCCAACATCGGATATTATTAGAAAAATTCGACTATCATCTTTGAAAATTATTTGGCATCTCTTATCTATAGTACCTACATTAAATAAGAAACTGAAATCAAATGATTTATTCATCGATCATCTTCTAACATTCATAAACAAAGTTTCTCAAAAAGAAAAAATGATTCCTAATGGTATTATATGGAAACTGGGCCATGAAGAAACTCTTCGTCAAGAACAAGCTGGAAAAAAGAAACAAATTGAAGAAGATGACCGTACGACAACTGATGATCAATATGATTCAACTGATGCATGGGATGATTCGGTCCCATTCGATCTTATGATGAGTTATAGTGATGATTCCAGTGAGAAAAGTCTTTGTCGTAAAATTAGCAATCGTTTGAAATCTGAAGATTTCAAAGTATACTTTGAAAAACAAGGAAAACATCGACTGGAATCAATGAAAAAAGCCGTATTAAAACAAAAGCTTTTTCTCGCTTGTTTATCAGCTAAATATCGTGCATCAAAAGTGTGTATGGCAGAAATTGAATATGCTTCTAAAAGTGGATGTCCTATTATACCAGTGATAGTCGGAAAAAATTACACAGTCAAAGGTTGGTTGAATCATCTTATTGGTAAACGAAAAACCGTTAATTTCAAACAGAAACTTTTCGAGGATGCATTTCTAAATTTAATTAGTGAAATTCGCAAATTGAAAAATTCAGAGTGAATAAAAAAAAGACTTAATTAGCATAAATATTTATTTTAACAATATTATATAGAATTGATATTTGCATTAGAATGAACTGATTGATATTATCGTTGAATTATTTTTAGATTTTATATAAAAACCTTTTAGCTCAACTCTAATCATTCCCTTAGGTTGTTTACTTATCATCAGCAGGTAAGAATATCTTCTCCTATTTTTGATACTATCGAATCAAGGATTTTAATTTTAATTTCTTTTACAAAAATAGTACTTTTATGAAAAAATAATCCACTACATGACTCAATCATCAACGACAAGTCAATTCTATTATGCGTGTCGTAATGGACACGTGGATGAGGTTCGTGAACAATTACCCAAAATGACTCTACATGAAATAGATCAAATCCAAGCGAATGGTTCTACTGCTCTCCATGCAGCATGCTACTATGGTCATGTAGAGATAGTAAAATTGTTGTTAAAGCGAGGCGCTAGTCGTTCTATACAGAACGTACACAAATGTTTGCCATATGATGAAGCAGAAAAAGAAGAAATAAAAAAACTATTTCTTCGTGAATCATCGAATCGATTTAGTGATGATGGAACAGGTCACATTGATTGGATGAAATGTGATGATGCAGCAGCAGAACTAGCAAATGAATATCGATTTCGTCATGCAGGTTTCGGTTGGAAAAAGAAAGATATTGATCGTCGAATGAATTTTATCAAAAAAGAAATGTCTCATACTGACATCGAACGAGTTGGTGAATTTCTCAATAATGCAGAATTAGAACAAAATCCATGGTATCTTTTGAAAGCATATACAGTCGAATCAAATTTTTATAAAAAGCTCAATAGAGATCTAGCTACGAAACATTTCGACCAAGGTACCAATTCGGGTATCACTTATTTTATCGATTTTTTCTTCAATCATCCTGAATTAGGAAAATTATGCTTCAAAGGTAAAGTTTATCGTGGTATGCCTATAACACAAGATGATCTTAAACAGTATGGTATTGGAGGAAAAGTAATGAATAAAGCATTTATGTCGACAACCAAAGATCTAGACATAGCCAAAGAATTTGCCAAAAATAATCTTATTCATCGTCAAACGGAGCATGGCACTCAAGTAAAAATGGCTGCCTTATGTATCTATGAAATTATCAATGATCGAACAGCGCTTGATATTGAACAAGTATCCGAATATAAATTTGAGAAAGAAGTACTAGTAGGACCATATACAGCGTTTGTAATTACTGCGATACGAAAGATACGTCCAGATTATGTAGAAATCGATCTTCGTGAATGCGAAAAAGTAAATGACGACGACGAAGATGATGATAACGATGACTAGAATAGGTTCTGTTTTATGTTTTTTCTTTTTTTACAAGAAGAATACTTTTGTTTCATCGATTTCCGTGAATCTATAACTATTGTAAAACTTGAAAATAAATCTAATATTTTCTTGTCAACAAGCTGTAATACACACACACAATCCTAGTATCAATCACATATATCATGAAAAATAACCGATGTGTAGCTCTTCCGACAAGTATCCGGGTGTGGGTATGAGTATGATTATCTCGTAAGCAACAATCGCATCATCACGCAACTCACACTCAGAACAATGCAATAGTTCTTTTCTTACAGACAATTGAGACACAACATGTAAGGCATTAAAATTTTGTAGATATTCAACCCATTGTTTCAATTTTTACTAGGTACAATAGAATAAATCAATTAAACCAATCACAATAGATAAGAAATATTTCTTTTAGTTGTAGCTATCATAGTACCAGAAAAATGTTAATATTAAAGATAAATGCTCAGCTAATTACTTCTATTATACAAAATTAAACAATCTGGCACTTTTGTCATGCAATGTACCAATCCACAGTTGGTTAGGATGTGAGTGCAAGAAGGACCATACTCACACCCACGATCTTAATTGTTAGAAGAGAATACATTACTGTCTGTTCTTTGTCATGCGTGTTCATTGTTTTAAATAAGTCTTTTGATAATTTTTCTTATTTAATACAAAAATACATTTTCCTCACAAGTCGAAGATTTTTCAAAAAAAAGAACTCAAAAAATCTTCAACTTTTGATAACAAAAATTGACATCCGATTTGTTAAACAGGGTGTAGATGCATGTGTTTATTTCACGCTCTTTCACACCCCACGCCCCAAACCCAAACCCACACCCACACCCTAACCATTACTAATATAGAGTGCGCATATTCAAAGTATTGACAACAACAGCCAACCTTAAATAGAGGTTTTTCATAGATCTAGATTTTTCAAGTGGATGAATGCGACTATGTATGAAGAGAAGACGCTCAACAAACTCATATTTCAAATGCGTCTTTTTTCAGACATCGTTTTCTGAATTTTTTTCTCTGTATATAAAGGTTAACTTGTAGCTGAATTAGTATTTGCTCATTTAATGTTTGATTGTATGAGTTGTCAAAATGTTGATTACAGCGTATCACAGAACAGACGAATGCTTGGATTGGGTTCAATGCCACAGATGAAAGCGATAACAGCAAACAGCCGATCCCACCTAGAATTTTTGCCTTGCTTCTCTTGATTTTGTTTTTGAGTCTTTGAATATTTTATCTGGTAAAAATTGATCATAAATTCATGTTTCTTTTAGAAAGGTGAATATTTTAAAATGAGGTTTATGTTTGTTGGGGTGTGGGGGTGGGTGTGGGTGTTGAAGAAAAGATCCACACCCACAAGAATATATGGCGTGAAATCGGAAGAATTTGCGGCAAAGAAAAGGGAAAACAACTGTATATTTTCTTGAAGAAAAATCACAATCAATTAATTTCTATTGCTTTAGGAAACGTATTTCTTAATCATTTCAAATTTAAAGAAAATATTCCTTGATAATTTTGAAGAGGAAAACAGTTGGTTTGCAAACTATAATAAATGAGCTAGACATTTTTCAGAGAACAAACAATGGATTCATGCTCATTCAGCTCGCTACCGCTTCAGATTGATGATCAAGTAAAATTAATCGAGTGCAAAGTGCCATTTTATCAAGCAATGGCTGCTTCACGAGAATGTCATCTACTACGAAAATAGAGCTCTTACTATATACAATCAATAATAGTCCAGCAAGAAAACTATTGAATGGACAAACAAGAATGATCATATTATTGATCTTTGCTGATATAAAAATAAACAATTTATTGCTTTAACAACAGAAAAATTTCATTTATTCAATATGGATACACAAAAAATTGATACGATGCATAGATTGTCTAATGACAATGATGAATCTATTTATCATCGTTGTACATCACATGATGAATGTATAATATTTTATGTAGACAAGATGAACATATTTATAATATGTGTTTATCATCAAATATCTTAGGCTTGACGGTTGCTAATTTAGCACAACGATCAAGATTTGAACTACGTCAACGTGATGCGATGTCTGTTTTATTTCTGATTCAATTGACTCATCAATATTATCGATTAATTTTGGTGAGTGATCATAATTGGCTTTTAGTTCCGTCTTATGATGGAAGACAAGAACTTCTGATCGATACTAAGGAAAAAATCGTTGACAATATCAACATTCCGCCATTGATATAATCTTATAATTATGATGGTAATGGTCATCGAGTGATTTGGAATGTCGCCCTGATATTAGGAAACAACTCATATCTTATTGTTCGACGTGAACGAACAATTTGTTTCTATTACATTAAATAACATGATAACTTTTATTCATCTTTGATTGTTCTTCATCGTGCTGAGTTACGGTTATAATTAAGTACTTATGGAGACAATATTAATGTAGTTGAATTGACTACCTGAATAATTTTCGTGTTCTATTCATCGTATAGAATGTAAATATGACCTTTATATAACTAATAGAAATGAAGGACTCATCCTAATCATAATTGATTGTTTGTATTCATCATCAGCTTATTATCTATGTCATGGTCAGTAAAAGATTTCAATAGCAGTACAATTGACTAAAGCTCGATGACCAAAAAATTCCACCAAACTAGAAAAACCATTCAAAATCGGAATTGAAAGTGGTGAAGCAAACTTCATGCAAATGAATAAACAAGCACTCACCATCCTATTTAATGAATACGCAAAAAAATGAGGAAGTTTTTTGTCAATAGTTCAAGTCACTTCAGTTTACAATAATATAATTAATCGAAGCGCACATGCACTACCATATTCTTTGGAAAACATGTAACACGTTCGTCATAACCGCCAGTATTTTCAGGTGTGTCTTCGAAAGTAATACCACGTTGCATCAACTGAATGGAATCATTGCTAAATGATGATGATCTTTATCTTCAGCTAAAAATCTTTCAGACATAAATTGTTTAGAATCACCATGATGCCAATAACGAGCATCAATATTGATATTATGTAAAGCAACAAAAACAGTTTGACCACGATGAACCTTCACGTTGTCAACGACAGTGTCTCGCATAGCCATACGCGTTGTGAGTCCAGCAACAGGAGCTAAACGTAAAACCTGAATATAAAGAACAACATAGCAAACATAATCAAAGTTTTCGAAACGAAACTAACCTCTTTCGTTACACATTCACAATAGGTTAGTGAAGCCAAATTGTCTGATGTTAACGATGGTACACATTTGAGATCATCAGTCATCAGAAGATTGTGCTCTCGCAATTCTTCTTTCATCTTATGTTGTACTCGAGGGTTTTCACTGGCGAAGAAAAGGAACCAAGATAGAGCAGTAAATGTTGTTTCATAACCGGCTAACATCATCATCAATACTTCGTCAAATATCTCCGCACGAATTAGACCGGATGAAGTATCTTCATCATTGGCTTGTTCATTCAATGACGAGACCAATGAAGCAATCAGACTCTTTGGTGGTTCATTTTTTGTTTCATTTCGTTTTTTCTTTGTTCTTCTTCGACTACTTTTTCTGCTAATTCATGAATCAATCGATAGACTCTTTGATATTTCCAATTATATTTCAAATAGATTTTTCCTAATCATCGAGGCATCCATGGTACCAGCATTAGCATACGCCGTAGAAACCAAAATCTCGAAAAGCTTGTTTAATCGGTGAACCCTTATGAATATCAAAGTCGCAGTTGAAGCCAATGAATCCAATCACATTCATCGTAAACGATTTACAACTTGCTAATAAATCTCGATGAATTTTACGAGGTTATAGATGTTGATCAATAAAACTATCAGCACAAAGAACAATTGTCTCTACTTGACTAATAATCTTTGCTCGCTTAAGCATCGGTAATAGAACTCGTATATGTCGTTTTCATTTAGCGCCAATCAACATAGTAATACCGTTTGGACAAAGCAGATCGAAGTTTGGAAAGAATAAAGGCGATTGTTCGAAGATATGGCGATCAGCAAATATGGTTTGAGCATCTTCCAATCGACAGAAAACTAAACATTGATTTGAACCGTACCAAAATTGAAATTTATCTCCATAACGGCGTTGATAATCGAGCATGACTTCATGTAAGGTCGCTTCGCCTTTCAATATACCAGAATTAAGAAGATTTCCAACGAAAATCTATGGTCTAGTTCCTGGCAAATCATCCGGTGATGAGCCGTAACTAAGTCTCAAATAGATATACACCAGAGTAACGACAATGATTAAAAGACATGCAAATACAATTGCTATCATAATGAAGCAAACTGTTTTGAGTAATGTGTAATGTCAATGCTCGTCGACAGGCAAGTGTGTGTGTTTTTTTTCTTTCCTTTAGGCTCACTTTTATTTTCTAGAGACATTCAAAGCAAAAACACAGGAGAAAAAGATATTAAAGAGCGAGAAATAATCAGGTTGGGAGTACTGCGATGAAGAAAATAGAAGATGTCACTCACATTTGCCTTGTTCTTGTATGTAAAAAAAATACTCTATCGAAGTTTATCAAAATAAATGCCATCAATGAAGTCAATATCAACGAAAATATGAGACGAGTTTGAAAAACAATAGTTGAATGTCGCCAGAATGGATTATTTTACAGAGAAAAAAAACATTGATCTATAAGTTAAAACAAGTAACAATCGTACATAGAAAGCATGGTCTTATTGATCTCAGACCCATGTCGACTAGAATCTTATTGAAGACATTATGCATGAGTAAATGCCATCCATAAGGGATTTTTACTATTTGCCACAATGGAAATCAACCAATTACTTCCATATTCGATGGTTTCCATTTGTCATAAACAATCTTTGTTAACCTAGAATATAAGATAAACTCATCGGCTAAAAGAACGAGAATATTCATGACGATGGTGAGGAAGTTAGAATTCAGAAAAAAGAATGCAACTGTTACTAGTGGAGACTAGTGGAAAATCATTTAAATATATTTAATTAAAGTCAATCATACATTTTCATGTTTTATAGCTACTTAATTTAGATCGGTTGACATCAAACAAGTTTCTATTTAGACTTTTATTTGTTTTTCTGTTAGACTGTATCATGCACCGACATACGTTGTCTAGACTTTGATCACAATTTTTTTCACTATGAGTATAGATAAATAGAAATGCATGGAATGAAAAAAACGCAGATTCAAGGAGAAGTTATATGTCTCACTTTCGTCAAGGATAACTAACGAACCAAAATGAAACTACATAAACGTTATTTTCGATTCCGAGAGCTTAACTTTGTGTTTAGTAGAATAAGAAAGAATGGATAGCTCTATCAACCATGTGAATAACTGATTGAGCTTTCTACGTTACTCTTTTTCCTTCGGGTCGAGCATCTAACAAATAGAAGTCTTTTCTAATAGCATGCAAACCTCAATCATCAGAAGAGCTGCTTATATTTTTCTCAAATCTTTTAATTGTATGTGCAAGGATAGTTTCTGAGAAATATAACATAAAATTTGCTTGTCAATATTTGTTTGACAAATTTAATGGATATAGTTATTCAAATATATGCTTCTTCCTTGCGAATGAAGTGTCATAAGCATAATTTAATTAGGCATTTTAGTTGATTTCTTGAGTTATATGAAAATTGAAATAACAGCAGTGATTGAAAAATCAATAGCTAAGACAAAAATCTAATCAATGATTTCAGTAGGTATTCATTTATTTAAATTGATAATTTAACAACCCAAAAACCGAGTCTCTCTGATTGAATAAGCATTTCTTTAAATTAAATAACCGTGTTTCCATGTTAAATTTAATTGTATCTAATATTTCATTTTAAAGCATCACTAAGCATTTGATATCTTACATTTTTCAGCACATACAAATTGGACAAGCTTCTGGAGGTTGTCGACAGCTAAAAATCTGATTATATTGCAACAACGATTTTCTTGAAAAAATTATGAAATTCACACTGCTTCAGCGCAAAGAACTATTTAAAACTATTTTTCCTCAAGTGCATACGTTATAAAATTCAAGACAATGAAAATTTTGACTTTTCAGATGGAGTTGAAGCTTAACAATAACATTAAAATATAGAACATTGTATCCTTCGTGCACATATTAAGTTAAAAGCTGAAACACGTTCATGAGACACATAATATCACTATGTTTTCTTTGCTTTTATTCGACCGTCTCACTTTCATTATATACATGTGTTGCAGACATTGTTACAGTAGTTTACTAAACCGATTTTGCAAGAACAAAAAACAGTATTGCCGATACTGGATTATTATTCATAAGATGAAAATGACCGCCATAAAATTGTTTATCTTATCGATGTGTTTTCATGTACAATATATATTGAAACAGTAATACTCAACTGTTTAATTGAATGTTAAAATTATACGAATCCTCATATTCATAAGTTTCTGTAATTAACCGTTTTCGGTGTGGGTTTGGGTGTGCACTGAAAAAAGAAGGTCACATTATCGAACCTAATAGGATTTCGAATATTGAAACGAATTCTAAACCTTTGTAGACTTCGTACCATATCATATCGAACCTTTAAAAAAGACTTCCTGATCGATGATAATCATTTTGAAGGTGTCAAAGGTTTTTACGAAACTCTTTCGAGGGTTTCGAATTTGTTTCAAAAATGGTTCAACATTATACCTTTTTTCAGTGTGAATGTGGGTGGAATTCTTCTCAAAGGATAGCTACACCCACATCCACCTACATTCACATCCTGCTTGTGTGAATTCTCTCTTCGTCTGGATCCACATCTATACACATACAGCTGTACCCTTAGCAACATCACCCATAGTCATGAACTAATCAGCTCTCAATCATCCAAAAAGATCTTTTTGATATTATTGTTTACTTGAGTATAAGAAAAATAAATCAATAACACATTAGTACATAAAACTCGAAGCAATATCCTTGAATAACTTAAAGAAGATAGATAATTGAGTCGAACTCAGATAACACATATGTGTCAATACAAAAAAAATCGGAAAAAAGAACGAATGAAAATTTTATTAATCAAGATTCTTGATTAATACAAATTTGCGGATAAGGCCATTCAGGCATTTGTCTTCCGATTGGTCACATCTTGATTTCTTTTCGAAGTTACCTATATATGATACAACTCAGTCATTGAAGTTCAGTTTCGTCTACAGAATCAACTTACGACTCTTGGTTTCTTTTGTTCACCGATATGTTTGTTTTTCGTCGGACTTCGCAGACGTTTCGGAGCACCATAAGTGTCCAAAATATGTCTCAGATTTTTAATTTCTGTCGCTAAAATAAATGAAATATCACTTGTGCTTGTTTACTTATCGATAGATGAAACTTAAAACTTACCCTCATATTCTGTAATTGCCTCTGTCTTACATATGGCATCTGTGCAATATGCCATGTTATTCTCATCAACAAGAACCAGTTGGAAAACTAAAATTGATTGTCGCAGATTGTACTCATCTCTCGTTTCCTTCGCTCCGTTTGTTCCTGTTGAATACAGATCTAAAATCGACTCAAAGATTCAATACAATCAGTACGGTACACAATTTTTTCTTACCAGTGAATGCCAGTTGTGTCGGTGAATAAATAGCCAATGTTCTAATTTTTGCTAGATCAGGTTGTGTGAGTCGAAGCATGGCAAGGTTTTCAATCCTAATAATTAAAGAACATTTTTAGTTAAGGAGAAAAATCGAAGCAGTTCCACCTACGTGATGTAACCATTTTCAAAATCTCGTTTAGTGACTGGAATCAATAATGAGCCGCCATGAACTTTGGCATGATTATGACAAATCCATATTGGATATGGATGAAGAAGAAAGAGATCACTTGTGCCATGCTTTAGAGTAATGCGAGTAATGCGCAAGTAAACAGTGACACCTGCTGGTAAATGAAGATGGAGATCAGGAATCTAGATAAATTCATTTAAAACAAGCCATAGATGAATATTTTGTAGAAGAATGATGACTCACAGTGATTCTCAAACTTTTATTGTGAGGTACAAAAATGTATCGATTAGCTTTCAAGCATTCGTCTTCATATCGAGCACGTTGATATGGACAAGGAGCGATTGATACTTCAATCGATTTCCCATTGGTTATTGAAGCTGAGTAACCACTTTCGAGAAAGGTAAGTGTCGATGAGATATCCTGTTTCAATCGAACACAAGTTAAAATTATGACAAATTATTGATGACTACTCTAGAAGGCTTACCGATGACTTAACAACTCGGATAGATTTCTTCCCATTGGTGGGATTTTCTTCGATCTCGGTCGATCCTAATGAAATTTGATTAATGATAAGATCATAGCTGGTCTGTCCATTTTCGTTTGTTTGCTCCATCAGTAATTGTTGTTCAAGTGAAGATCCTCGGGGATCTTGATTTAGTGCTGA